GAAAGAGTGAAAAGGCATATCTAGTGAAAGGGATAGTATTTGAGATCCAGTTGGGTAACACTAAAATATGTCTACAATATAATATGCTTAATATTTTCATGTAGTTTACCTATTCTCCCAAAGGTTATTTCAAAAGTCCTCAAATGTTTTAACTGTGGTACTATAAAATCAATATCCAGTGGAGGTCAGTAGGTGGCATAGTGGTTGAAGTACTGGATTCCGACATAGCCAGCTGTGGTTTGAGTCCCAGCAGCTTGAAAACCATGCCGGGTGCATGTGCATGCGTTCCCAAAATCTTGGGAGAAGACAGGAAGAGAAGAGATTGCGGCATGGCCATCTCCCCTGGGGGATGATTTTTCATATTCCCTCTCTCTCCCCTCTCTCATCTGTCTCTCATTGGTGAGACATTGTGATTGTCAACATGACTTAGCAAATTAGTGGCAGAGCCAGGAACAGAGCCCAAGTCTCTTGTTTTCCACTCTATATTTTCCACTACTCTACTACCCTTTCTTTAAAACTTTTTTTCCCCTTCATTTGCAATACAGCACACATAGGCACATGAGAATGTGAGAGAGAGAGAGAGTGTGAGAGTGAGGACAAGAGAGCTGAGCACCTTCCATAGGCCCCAGTAACACCACTCTCCAGCCTGTCAAGATTGTGGGCAGTCGTGTGTGTGCCTGGCATATTTCAGGCCAACCAGGCCAGAGATTCAAACCACAGTCACCACATGGAACCTAGTTTCTCCTGAGCAGCACATCACCACTGTGTCATAGAATTGGTCCTACCCTATTCCTCTTATCTGTGGTTTAAGAATACCAGAGGGCCAGCAAGGTGGCTTGGTGGTTGAGGCAGCTGGATCCCACATGGTTGACTACATAGTTTGTGTCCCAAACCTGCTGGCTTGAGAAACAGCTAAGCACGTATGCATATGTGCCCCAAATCCAGAGAGAAGAATGGAGAAGGGACTGCAGTGTGGTCATCCCCCAGGGAGTACTTCCTTACTTCATCTCTGTTTCTCTGTCTCTCTCTCTCCCAGAGTGTATGTTCCCTATAACACCAACCAAAAAAAAAAAAAAAAGAGAAAGAAAGAAAGAAAGAAAAGAAAAGAAAAGAAAAGAAAAGAAAAGGAAAGAAAAGAAAAGAAAAGAAATAAAGGGAAAAAAGAAGAAGAAGAAGAAGAAGAAGAAGAAGAAGAAGAACAGAACAATACCAGAGGGCCAGCTGCATGACCTGGTGGTTAAGGGAGCCAGATCCCACACAGCTGACTGTGCAGTTTGAATCCTAGTCCCAGCAGTTTGAAAAACACACCAGGAAAATGTGCATGTTTGTCCCAAATACTAACAGGATAGGGAAATGGAGAAGGGACCACAGAGTGACCATCCCTCCTCTGTCTCTCTCTCTGGTGAGTATACATACCTTTGGCAAATTAAAAACAAACAAACAAAAGTAGAGCAAAGAAATGATTTTATCTTTTTAAAATAATATGGAAATTACCTTCTAGTATTTGGTACTTACTAATCACTAACCAACTTAGAAAAATATATAATACTAGATTGGATCTATAGATAAAATAGATCCAATCTATAGATAAAGTCTTTTATTGGTAAACTGTCAATTTAAATTTCTTTTAACTATGCTTAGAGTTGTACTACCCAATGCTATAGGAACAAGTGATAGTAAACCTAAATGCTGTCAAAAATGAAAGCAAACATATGCATGCATAATAATTCATTTATCCAAATGAAAGTAAAAAATGTGACCACTAGGAATTTTTATTTAAAAATAACAGATCATAACATCACTTGACCAGCTCATAAAATTTTAACTCAAATCACTCTCAAGAAGTCTAAATGCCCACTGAATGACATGGTTTTTAGAAAAAGATCAGTGAATGTATTTTGGGGAATGATGTCATAGATGAGCATCTTTTATAACCATTTTTGATTAGATGTACAGTTTCTTCACAAAAACATAAAAAAGTCAAAATTCACTAAAGGATTACTGTGCTGACAGAATATATTTCAACTGCAGTTACATATGTTTGCTTATCAAACTTATATATGAAAATTTCTACCTCAAGAGTTGCATAATTAAAGCTTTATGCTAAAACATATCACTTTTCCCTCATGATGATGATGAAACTAAATAATTAGAATTGGGCCCAACATCAGTGACACAAGCAGTAGAGGTGTTGTCAAACAACACGGGAGACCATATGGTGAAAAGGCTCCAGGTTAGCTTTCAGGTATGTCAGAACATGCCAAGTGTACCCACAACCCTGGCTACGTGCTGGGTTGGGGGAGGATAGAAGCGTGAAGACCCTGTTGAAGGTGCTTATCTCTCTCTACTTGAAGGAGGAAATAAATACACTTTTAAAAAGTTAGAACTAAAATTGGAGTTCTTCATTTGGCATTTTATAATTTTACATAAATTATTTCAGAATGTTTGATTTTAGGTTTACCAAACAAAAAATGTAAACAATTAAAACTGTATGTTGTTTTCTTAATGTTCCTTAATTAGTTATTAGTAGGTATCTTATAAGGTAATTAACTTTTCAAGACAAATATTGATTTCTAACAAAAAAATCTCAGACATTTGAGATAAAATCTATAGTGAAACACAGCTTAAGTATGACTAGATTAGACTGCTATTAATCTTTTTTGTGTGTAAGTATGAAAACAAATGGATGAAGGGAACTACAAAATACAAATATTTATGTGAAACTGAAAATGCCCTAGGAAATTCTAAATATCTTTCAGATCATTTTTTTTCTTTCTTTTTTTTTTTTTTTGAAAGGAAGAAAGAGAGAAAAATAAGACTGAGAAAGGTATTTCTGACAGGGCCTTGCTAGTCCCACCCTAGCTTTTCAATTAGCTAGGATTACATAGGTGTGCAAATCATACCCAGCATGTTCAGGTTGGCCTGCAAACTGAATCTGTGGCTCCCATGTGGCTTCTAGCCTCCAAAGCAATATTAATATAATACTTATGCACCACTATAGCTGAGTCTCAGATAGATTAATTTTTAAAAAATAATTATTAATTTAATTTTTCTTCTTATTATTTTTTAAAATTTGCCATAGGGCACAACAGAGAGAGAGAAAGCAAGCTGCCAAGTCCAGACTCAAACTGTGGTCAGCCATGTGGGAGTCCAGTGCCTTAACCACCCTGTGAGAATCCAGTTAATTAACCACCATGCCACCTGCTGGCCTCTCAGACAGGTTAATTTTAAGTTTCACTGAGCTAAGGAAGACTTACTAGAGGAAAATATTTTCCTCTAGTATGAATCACTTCATCAAAAATTAAGAATAGTAAAACTTACATTTTAAAAAATAAAATAATTTTTAAAAAGCTGATGAAAATGAATTAAAGTAAAAAAAAACTAAAATAAAATCACATATCCAATGTATAAATTGTTATTTACAATAGCATTTAACATAAGCATGATCACTATTTTTATAAGTTAAGCATTACTACTTATTATTTGGGGACACACCTTTGTTTTTGGAAGGAGACTGTTTAAAAGTTTTTCTATACATTCTATGAGTTTCTCCCAATTCCAATTCCTTTATACAAGTTTTTTTTATATTATCATCAATGTCATCAATTTTGCTTTCTTCGATATTCATGATTCTATTAAACTTTGTGTCTGTGTGATCCTCCACTTTCATTTCTCTGACTGAATCCACTTCTTTCACAGTTCTAATTTCAAAAAGGTCTTCAGCTAAAATGCAATTTGAATTATTAGCCAATATATTGCCTTTATTACTTTCAACTAGTTCACCTTTTTCTTCATCTGTATCTGCAGGATCATAAAGTTCAGGTGTAAAATAGATAGATTCATCTTCCGCCTCTGTTTCAAAAGCTCCATTTGAAGTAGAATGTTCAGTTTCATTATTTACCAGAGAAAATTCAGTATTTAACTCCAAGGATTCTTCACAGCAGAGTGGTTGTTTGGAACAGTTTTTTTTAGTAAGAGTAGCATCAATCATAAGTGATGAAATAATGGTTCCTGGTTGAGGACATGGTCCAGATGATGTGTTTACTATCAGATTTGAGGACTCACATTTATTGGCTAATGGCAAAACAGTTTTACTTTCCATCTTTAATGGTTTGAAAGTAGAATCACTAAAGGTACAATTCTCTGATGTCCTAAGCCCAGGTGATACAGGGAGCATTTTACCAGTAAAATACTGACCCAAAGAATCAAAGCTGGACCAGCTAACTCTCTTTGCTTGTTTGTTGAAAGTTGGGCTTGTAGATCTGGAAATCACATTTTTTTCTGCTTTCTTTGCCTGGACAGACTCTTCCAATAATACTGGATCATCTAAGAACACAAAAATTTAAGAGCTTTAACCTGCTTGTAGTTAATACAATACTTGTCAGGTTAAAATGGCATTTATTAGATACTTAAATAACTACGCAGGGCAAATAGTTTAGAGACCACAACCAGTAGTAGTGAACTTTTATCTTAGAACATAAAAGAACAGAATGCAAACTTTGAAAGGAATCTTAGGTCTCCAATGTTTCTTAGTCCAAGTTATAATACTGTCTAGTAAACTACCAAATTCTACACAAAGAGCCTCATAATTGAATGAGAAAAAAAGGGGCTAAAAAAATAAAAAAGGAAGAGAGTTGAGTAAAGAACAGTCTATAAAAATTTACCTTGAAAATCTACTAATCAGTGATTGAGAAAAACTGATCTAGACTAATTCCCTTGATTAATAAATAACAAAACTGAAAACCACAGGACTAATTATTCAAAGGTATGAAACTGGTTAATAATAAGACCTAAAAAAGGAAGAGAGTTGAGTAAAGAACAGTCTATAAAAATTTACCTTGAAAATCTACTAATCAGTGATTGAGAAAAACTGATCTAGACTAATTCCCTTGATTAATAAATAACAAAACTGAAAACCACAAGACTAAATTATTCAAAGGTATGAAACTGGTTAATAATAAGACCAGGACTAGAACCTAGGTTTCCTGATTATCACCAATAATAATTTTGAATTGACTGTGATTTTTATTTAGATACATATACTACAAAGTAAATGTTTAAAAATTGGTATGTTAAGCTACAATGATATACAGGTTAAAATAATTAAAATTATACCCAGTGATAAAGAGCAGACTTTGGCAAATTTTCTCTGTTACAGGCCAGACAGTAAATATTTTAGGTTTTGCAGGCTACATTACCTTTGCTGCAACTACTTAATTATGTTGTTTTAGTGCAATATCGAAAACTATTCAATTCTACTGTTGTTTGCAATATGTAAATGAATGGGCATGACTATGTTTCATTAAACGCGCGAGTTTTAAGCCACCGGGTCCAGGACGCGAACCACGGTCGACTACGTGGGAGTCCAGCGACATAGCCATTACACTAACTGCTGGTTCCTGAAAGTAAATATTTCTTTCTCTCTCTCTCTTTTTTTTTTTTTGGAAAGGTTTTTTGCTATAGGGCGCGTGCGCTCGCTAGACAGACAGAGAGAGACATAGAGACAGAAAGCAAGAAATCCCCCCCCAGGGGGGATGGCCATGTGGCAATCCCTTCTCCTCCATTCTCCTCTAGGGATCTTGGGCACGCACGCATACGCGCCCGGTGTGAGTTTAAGCCACCAGGTCCGGGACGAGAACCGCGGTCGACTACGTGGGAGTCCAGTGACATAGCCATTATGCTAACTTCTGGTTCCCCAGAGAATAAATTTTTAATAGCCTCTAGAATAACATCTAAAATTATACTCTACAATGTTGTGGTATTTATCATTTTATTTGGTCTTTATAACCCAACCTGGAGGAATAAATAGGCTGGTGTTCTTTCTTCAATTATGACTCAAAAGGTTAAGTGACATGCTTATGATTGATGGTAACTCAAAAATCAAAAACTATGCTTTGGTCTCCTTAACAGTTGTTTCCATTCTAACACATCATATTACTTCACTGTTTTATGAAACAGTGAAGTATTACAAACCAACACGTTTAAAAAATTAATCTAAACTGAAATAAATAAAATTTCACCAACTATAATAAAAGACCTCTCTATCAAATGCAAATAAGTAGAACTTTTCATACTTTTCTCTTTTCCAGAGATGATGCCACTTGGTAGAGACAGATTTTGAATCATCACTTTAGGATGTCGTAATTCTTGGACACACACTGTTGCTTGATCTTCCTTAGGATTTTCTGGTGATAGGTGACTTGCTGCTTCCAGTAAGATGGCTGGGATATTGTCCTTCGAACAGGATTCTTCAAGCACAGACTCATCCTGTATATACTTTCTATTCTTTTTGGATACATCAATGACTTTTTGGTGCTTTCTGGAAAATTCAGCCAAGGACTCCAGTGCACTTTCAAATGTTGAATGGTGCTGAATTTGCTGCCGAACCCATTTAGAAAGTCCTAGGAAAAAAATATAAACCCAGAGGAAAATTTAGTTACTTAATGAATAAGGTAATATGTATTAAGATGAAATTTGCTTTTTCTAGTGAAGTAACCTGATTTATATTTTGAGTATAAAGGATGGTTCTTGATATTTTGCTTGTAGTTTTACCTCATATGTACAATATGCTCATATGTCAGTAATATTTCTCTTTATATGCAGTGATTGTCAAGCAAAGCCAGAGAACAGGCAGAGGAAATAGAGTGAAGAGGGGGAAACATATTATTCTTAGTTGAGAATAACTGGAGAACAGAGCAGGTATGATTTCATCATAAATCTTCACAAAAATAACCTCATTTTTTCATGTAGAGAAACTAGAAATTGTGAACAATATATACTCTTCCGTTCCAACATTCTAAATTTGAATTTTTTTTGCAAAAATAATTCAAGATTCCAGTCTGAAAGTTTTTTGTTCTCTTCCTCCATCAACTCCAAATACATTTTTTAAAAAGAATTATTTATTTAATTTTATTCATTCACTCATTTATTTTAATTTGACAAGAGAGAGACACAGAGTGAGCAAGAGAGGGAAAGTGAGAAAGCAAGCCACCAGGTCTTGGACTCGAACCGTGGTTGGCCACATGAGAGTGTCCAGCGTCTTAACCACCATGCCATCTGCTGGCCCCCCAAATACATTTTTAAGAGATTTTTGCTACAGAATGCGTGCACTCGCTGGAAAGAGAGAAAGACAGAAAGTGAGATATCACCCCCCAAGGGGATGGCCACCATGCAATCCTTTCTCCTCCATTCTCCTCTTGGGATTTTTGGGATGCACACACATGTGCCTGGCGTGAGTTTTAAGCTGCTAGGTCTGGGACTGTAAGCGTGGTTGACAATGTGGGAGTCCAGCCACATAACCATTATACCATCTGGTGGTTCCTCCAAATATACCTTTATTATGGAGACAAAAGAAATAACACTATCTTAGTGGCAAATCATGTCCTATATGCATTTTTATTATATAATTACTTAAAAATATATAGGGCTGGCCCTGTGACTTAATGGTTAAAGGAGCAGGATTCCACATGACCAACCATGTGGTTTTAATCCTGGCCAGAGCAGCTTGAGAAACATGCCAGGTACATGTGTGTGCATGCCCCAAATCCTGACAGGATGGAGAAATGCAGGAGAAGAGACCGTAGCATGATCACACCCCACTGGCGGTACTTTCTTTCTCTCTCTTTCTCTCTGATGAATATATGTACACTCTGGAGAAATTTGAAAGTAAATAAATAAAAATAAGAGTATATAAACAAGTCATAACAGATGTGACATGAAAACTGTATGAAAATAAAGCATTTTAACTGTTTTTTTCAGAATGGCTCACTTCAGAATGAAATTCAAACTCAGATATTTGCACTTTTACAAAATAAATATTCCCTGCTAATGCTACTAAAACTAGCACCATCTTTTGGCATATAAGTTTTAAAAGTCACTGTGGTATTATTAATCAGAGAAAAATAAAACAAAAATTCAGATAACTTGAACTAATATGCTATCATTTTAAATGCATCATTTTATTATTTTTTTTAATGGAGTATTCTATCAGGTCTCTCTGAAAATTGAACTTGAATAAAAATCAGATATTAAGGGGCTGGCAGGCAGTGTGGTGACTTAGGGCGCTGGACTCCTACATGGCTGACCATGATTTGAGTCCCCGGCCTGGAGGCTTGCTTTCTCACTTTCTTTCTCTCTCTCTCTCTCCTTCTCTCCCTCTCTGGTCAAATTAAAATAAGTAAATAAATACATAAAGTCAAGTGAAAAATAATTCTTTTAAAAAAATCAGATATTAAAAGGAATTTGTGTGTTATGCTAGTATAACTAAAATTTTAAAAATTTCACTCTTCATAAATCTCCAAGAAAATAAGTAAAAACTATCTAAAAGTAATGGGAAATATTTAATTCTAAAAATTCTCAATAAATATGAATTAGGAGGTAGAAATTTAAGTTGTATATTTTAAAATAAGCATTTTTTTTTTCTTGAGAGATTTTTTTGCTAGCAGGTATGTGTGCTCTCTGGAGAGACAGACACACAGAGAGACAGAAAGCAAGACATCACCCCCAAGGGGGGGATGGCCATGCTGCAATTCTTTCTCCTCCATTCTCCTTTTGGGATTTTGGGCACACATGCCCATATGCCCGACATGAGGTTTAAGGCACCAGGTCCAGGACTTGAACTGCGTCCAGCCATGTGGAATTTCAACGACGTAACCACTACACCACCTGCTGGTCCCTAGTTAGCAATTCCTTTAAAAAAAAAAAAAATTGCTTCTTTGTTCCATGATGAGTAAGAAAGACAGAGACTCTTTGGAAACTTCTCTTGTTTTAGAGAATGGTTTTTCTGTGTGATGAGTGACTAGACCCAGTCTAAACTTTCTGATTCAGTTATAGCAGCACTGCTCCCAACCTAAGAGGTAGAAACTTAATGTCTACTGACAGTGAATGATAAAGGAAATACGGTATGTAAAGGAACTTTGAAAAGTTTATAGAAAATGTAATTAAAGTACAAATTTATTTTGGTACAAAACCACTGAAATTCATACATAATTTTTTTTATAATATGACTTTTCCATGAACTTTTAAAGACCTCTCATATACAAACAGAGAATATTCAGTCATGAATGAACCTTGAGGATATTATTATCCTAAGTGAAATGAGCCAAGGGGCCGGCAGGTGGCATGGTGGTTAAAGTGTTGGACTCCTCACATGGCCAACTGTGCTTTGAATCCTGAACCTGGTGGCTTGCTTTCTTTTACTCCCCACCTTCATCCCTCTCTGGTCAAATTAAGGGGAAAAAAATAAATAAAAAATATTAAACTAAATAATTATTTTTTGTTAAGAATTATTTTATTTAACTTTATTTATTTTATTTATTTCAGTTTGACCAGAGTGAGGAGAGAGAGAGAGAGAAAGTGAGAAAGCAAGCCACCAGGTTCAGGATTCAAAGCACAGTTGGCCATGTGGAGTCTCACACCCTTAACCACCATGCCACCTGCCAGCCCCAGTAAATCATACTTTAAAAAAGAAAAATAAATGAAATGAGCCAGTTACAGGAGGACAAATACTTCATGATTCAATTTATATGAGGTATCTAAAAAATAGTCAACTCATAGAAACAACTTCTATAAGACTCACAATAGTGGTTGCCAGGAGACAGGGAAGAAGAGGAGAAGGAAATGGAATATTGCTCTTCAACTTATATAGTTTGATACACAACACCTAAAAGCTCTAGAGATCTACTGTACAATATTGTGCTTACAGTTAATATTGTATTGCACACTTAAAGATATATTAAGAAGGTAGATTTGGGGAGGTAGGGCAGGGCTGCAGATGCCAATGCATTCTCACAGCTGCTATGCACGGAGCAAGCCTGTGAAGGGGAAGACAGAATTAGAAGACCATGTGATGGAGTAGAAGGATTTACCTTAGCGACTTTAGGATGCTGGTTCCACTGTAGGTATAATTATGCAAAGCAAAAAATTCAGGAAAGAATTGCCAGAGATGGAATTAAAAATATGATACTATAGGGGGACCAGCAGTTAGTGTAATGGCTATGTCACTGGACTCCCATGTAGTTGACCACGGTTCACGTCCCGGACCCGGTGGCTTAAACTCACACCAGGCGCATGCGTGTGCATGCCAAAGATCCCAAGAGGAGAACAGAGAAGGGACTGCGGCATGGCCATCTCCCCTGGGGGTGTGATTTCTCGCTTTCTGTCTCTCTCTGACTGTCTGGTGAGCGCATGCACCCTATAGCAAAAACCTCTATAGGAAAGCACCCACCTTGATCCTAAAAGAAAGCAAAGCAATGGCAACAACAACAGTTAAACAATCTGAGCATAGATAATGAACACACAACTCCCTGAAGTCAGTGTGAATAAAGCTGAGATCAACCACATAAAACATTTTAAATTAAAATAAATAAATAAAAAAATTTATGTACAGTAAGAAAGCTCTCAATCAAGTATGTAAAAATATGTGTAAGTTGTTGTCTTCTTTTCACACTTACATGAAAACCTGCCAATTCATTTTGGCCTTGTATTTGTGCCAGTCTATCATTCTTTTGTGCTATATATGGTAGACTTGCCATACATAAAATATGACAGAATTCATTGGCAGTGTGATCTAGAATTATAAAACCTATTATTCAATGTACTTGAAAGAGAAGTTTCCTTGTAATAAATAAAGAACTGAAAAAAAAAATTAGGATCTTGGGTTAGCTCTATGGACTGGTGGTTAAGACAGTCAGATCCCACATGGCCAACAGTGTTGTTTGAATCCCAGGTGAGTGTGTGTGTGTGTGTGTGTCCTAATTCCTGACAGGGTGAAGAAATGGAGAAGGTAAGAAGGGACTGTGGCATGGCCATGCCCCATTGGGGGCTGCTTTTTCCCTCTTCTTCTCTCTCTCTCTCTCTCTCTCTCTCTCTGCAGAGCTCTGGCAAATTTTAAAAAGAATGTAGATCTCATGTTATGTGCTTTATTATCACAATGAAAAAAGCAAAGATTCTACACCAAGTCCAATGGAGACTCTTACCAGATATATAGCGATCTGGGTTGCTCCTAAAGCGATCATCCACCAGAATAAGCGCTCCCCAATCATCTTTGTGTCGAATACACCTATAAAAAGAAAAAAAGGAAAATGAACATAACATTGAAAATAAAAGCCAGATTTCTAATGGGACAGACAGAAAACTGTGAAAAATTGATGTGTGTCAGTTATACATTCCTTTAATCAATTCACAATTGTAAGACAGCTATCCAATACAATGCACTAAAGTCAATGTATAAAAAAATTCCCTACTTCCACTAACACTGGTAAGTGATATCCAAAAATATTCTGTGCATTTTATTTTGAAATCAACAAAATGAGATAAATTCATGGATTACAAAACTGTTTCTTAAGATCTTCTTCGTTAGTTACACAGACTTTTTTTTCCTTTTCTATTTTTCTAAAGAGAGTTTTGCTATAAGGAGTATGTGCTTGCAAGAGACAGAGAGAGAGAGAGTGAGAAATCACCTGGATGGCCATGCTGCAATCCCTTCTCCTCCATTCTCCTCTTGGGATTTTGGGCATGCATGCACATGTGCCCATCTTGAGTTTGAAGCCACCAGGTCTGGGACTCAAACTATGGTTGGCCAGGAACCAGCAGTTACCATAATGGCTATGTCGCTGGACTCCCACGCAGTTGACCACATTTTGCGTCCTGGACCCGGTGGCTTAAAACTCACACCAGGCGTGTGTGCGTGCGTGCCCAAGATCCTGAGAGGAGAATGGAGGAGAGGGGATTGCGGCATGACCATCCCCCTGGGGGGTGATTTCTCACTTTCTGTCTCTATGTCTCTCTCTGCTTGTCTGGCGAGCACACGCCCCCTATGTGAAAACCTCGCCAAAAAAAAAAAAACTATGGTTGGCCATGTGGGAATCCAGAGCCATAACCACTGTGCCACCTGGTGGCCCATCTTTTCTACTTTTTTAAAAGTTTAGTATAAGGCATGTGTGCTTGCCTGAGAGAATGAGAGAAAGCACCTCCAAGTGGGGATGACCATACTTCAATAGTTCTTCACTCTCCTCTTGGAATTTTGGGCATGTATGCACACACATAAAGCATATTCTCCAAGCCAATGGGTCTGAGACTTGAATCATCAGTCAGTCACTTGGGATCCAGCCAACTTAACCACCACAAGGCTGACCCCCCCAGATTACTTTTTACCTCAAGTATTTATAGGTTTTGGGTACATGTCATTGTGTCTACTTTGATGAGAATCTTTATCATTAATGAACTATCATTAATTTTCTCAAAAATACTTTAAAGTTCAATGATATAATCATGTAGTTTTTCTTCTTTGGAATATGAATATGGTAGATTACTCTGTTAATTTTCAAATATTGAACCAGTCTTGCATTCCTAGGATAATCACGCGTAGTCATGGTGCATTCTTTTTTTTTTTTTTTTTTTAGAGAGGTTTTTGCTATAGGGCGCGTGCGCTCTCCAGACAGACAGAGAGAGACAGAGAGACAGAAAGCGAGAAATCACCCCCCAGAGGGGATGGCCACGCTGCAATCCCTTCTCTTCCATTCTCCTCTCGGGATCTTGGGCATGCACACACACGCACCCGGCGTGAGTTTAAGCCACCGGGTCCGGGAGGCGAACTGCGGTCGACTACGTGGGAGTCCAACAACATAGCCATTACGCTAACTGCTGATCCCGGTACATTCTTTTAATAAATTATTGGATTAAATTTGCCAGTATCTGAAAAAGTATTTTATTTTTTTAAAGAAATATTTATTTACTATTATTCAATTTTCTATAGGACACATATGCTCATCGAAGGAAGCAAGAGGGAGAGAAAATGAGAAAGCAATCTGCTAGGTTTGGCACTTGAACTGCAGTCAGTCATATGGGAGTCCAGTGCCTTAATCACCATGCCACCTGCTGACTCCAAAATATTTTATTTGAAAAACAATTGTTATTAAAATCCTTTGTGTACAACTCAAGTGGCTTTTTGTGGCATGGTGGTTAAGGCATTGGATTCCTATGTGTTTGACTTAAGTTAGTATCCTGGACACAGCAGTTTGAAAATCACTCCGGGCATGGGGCCATCCCCTCCACCCTCACAAGGTGGGGATTTCTTCAGTTTCTCTCTCTCTCTCTCTCTGGCGAGTTCACATACCCTGTGAAAGAATAAAACAAATTAGTAGTCACTCTGAATCACCCCAATTATTCACCATAACCTCTGACAATCACAAATAAACTTTTCTGTCCCTTTAGCTTTACCTACTCTGGACATTGCACCTAATTGGAGTCATACAGTATGTGGCATTTTGTACCTGGCTTATTTTACTTAGCATGTCTTTAATATTCACTCATATTGTATCATGTATTAGTACTTCAGTACTTCATTCCTTTTTAATGGCTGAATAACATTCCATTACATAGATTTATCACATTTTGTTTATTCATTCATAAGTCAATGGACATTTGCATTCTTTCCATTTTTTTTGTCTATTATAAGTAATGCTGCTATGAACGTTTGTGTACAAGTTTTTAATCAAATACATGTTTTTTATTCACTTGGGTATATACCTAATATTGGAAATGCTGGGTTCCATGTTAACTCCACGTTCAATTTCTTGAGGAATTGCGATACCATTTTCTAAAATTGCACACTTTTATATTATCATCAGCTACATATGAGGGGTCTAAAATCTCCACATCCATACCAACACTTGTCATTGTACATCTTTTTTACTATATCTACCCCAGAAGATGTAAAGTTGTTATTTAATTATGATTTTTGACCTTAATTTCCCTAAAGATAAATGCCTACTCATTTTACATGCTTACTAATAAATTTTATATCTTTTACGGGAGAGAAATATCTATTTAAATTATTGGTCCATTTTTAAATGGTTTATTTTTTCCCATTTTATTGCTGAATTGTAAGAGTCCTTTATATATTCTAGATACTATTGGGTTATTGGGAAAGTCATGACACATTTTTGCATAGAAAAACACATCATGACTTTCCTGACAACCTAATAGATCCTCATTAATCATTTGCAAATATTTTCTCCACATGTGAGTTGTCATTTCCTTCCTTCCATCTTTCCTTCCTTCCTTCCTTCCTTCCTTCCTTCCTTCCTTCCTTCCTTCCTTCCTTCCTTC